AGTCCAGTGCCGAAATCGGACTAGCATCTAGATTTCATAAAATAATGTGATCTTTCATCTAAGGTAAATTTAATTAAGCATGACTGGAACACTGTTCACATGAAGAGAAAAGCTCATAACGGACTGTAATTGCCTAATAAATTCACGTCCCGTAGCAACCTCCTGTGCCAACACTGACATGAGCGCAACATTGGAAATTTCACGTTGAATGCCCTTGCGATCGCTCAAGAGGACAGTGACAGAATTTGATCAGCTTCAATTTCTTTTTCTATTGACAATCTCCTTCGAACTGCAGAAACGGTGGGCTGTCGATGCACGATACTCAATGATGAATACAGTGTTTAAACTAATGGGAAACAGCTTTTCAGGCGAATCAGATGAGAATTCAGTACAAACGAAGCAGATGTGTGAACCCTTGAAGTGCACTGTTACCCTATATAAAAAATGCGAGGCGGCTAGAACTCATGGTGTTCGAAATGTTGGTCGTTCTCCTAGTTGTGTGCATTTTCATGACGAATGTCGGCGCCAGAGATTGCTCGGAACGCTTCGCCAACGAATGCGAGTGCTATTATTGTGAGTGAGTAAGTTCATCACCCAGTTCACAGTTCTTATCACATCTACTACACGCGGATCCACCTCATCTCAACTGATGATGAAGAATAATGACATTTCAGCAGGAATGAAGAGCTGTTGTGCGATCACCATGTTTGATGTAATAGTGAATTTTGCCAAACGCCATGGCACAGAGCTAGTAAGTCTTTTCTTGTTAATACATAAGTGAGCGACGGAACTGAGGCAGTGACGTCGGCATCGCCACCAATTCTGTATTGTGCTTATCCAACCCATTCGGTTTCGCAGTTCGGTTCGTGAGGTAAAGTCCGAGACTGAACTGATGAGTTATTCGCTTGTAATTGAGAGCGGATATTTGAAGTGTGAACATTGATAAAAAATTGGGGGGGGGACCCGTCACAAGAACGAAAATAATGTTCCTCTCTCCAATAGCGGCGATTGAAAATAGCACTGGAGCTTGTGAGTGGAGTCATTGGTGCTGGCGGGGGCCAATGCCCTATCCTAGGGCCTTCGTTCCTGCCAAATCATCCCGCTTTTTGTGTACGTGCTCCCCTCTTGCGCACTCCTGCATTTTGTAGGGGGCAGGGTAAAT